CTTTTGATTGGTGCATTTAGTCGATTTACATTTAGGGTTAATATTCTTATGTGTGAATTTGATACTGCCATTTTGATGCTAGCTGGCTGTTTTGCCCATTAGTTGTTGTAGATTCTTCATTGTGTTGATGCTCTTTAGCATTTAGTGTGATTTTGGAATGGCTCGTACTGGTTGTTCCTTTCTATGTGTAGTGCCTCTTTCAGGAGCTCTTGTAAAGCAGGCCTGGTGGTGACAAAATCTCTGAGTACTTGCTTGTTCGCAAAGGATTTTATTTTTCCTTCACTTATGAAGCTCAGTTTGGCTGGATATGAAATTCTGGGTTAAAAGTTCTTTTCTTTAAGGATGTTGAATATTGGCCCCCACTCTCTTCTGGCTTGTAGTGTTTCTGCTGAGAGATCTGCTGTGAGTCTGATGGGCTTCCCTTTGTGGGTGACCCGACCTTTCTCTCTGGCTGCCCTTAGTATTTTCTCCTTTATTTCAACCTTGTTGAATCTGACAATTATGTGCCTTGGGGTTGCTCTTCTTGCGGAATATCTTTGTGGTGTTCTCTGTATTTCCTGCATTTGAGTGTTGGCCTGTCTTGCTAGGTGGGGGAAATTTTCCTGGATGATGTCCTGAAGAGTATTTTCCAGCTTGGATTCATTCTCTTCGTCACATTCTGGTACTCCTATCAAACGTAGGTTGGGTCTCTTCACATAGTTCCACATTTCTTGGAGACTTTGTTCATTCCTTTTTGCGCTTTTTTCTCTGATCTTGGTTTCTCATTTTATTTCATTGAGTTGGTCTTCGACTTCAGATATTCTTTCTTCTGCTTGGTCAATTCGGCTATTGAAACTTGTGCATGCCTCGCAAAGTTCTCGTATTGTGTTTTTCAGCTCCTTTAATTCATTCATATTCCTCTCTAAGTTATCCATTCTTGTTATCGTTTCCTTGAATCTTTTTTCATATTTTTTTTAAGGTTCTTAGTTTCTTTGCGTTGATTTAAAACATGTTCTTTTAGCTCACAAAAGTTTCTCATTACCCACCTTCTAAAGTCTAATTCCGTCATTTCGTCACAGTCATTCTCCGTCCAGCTTTGTTCCCTTGCTGGTGAGGAGTTTTTGTCCTTTCTAGGAGGTGAGATGTTCTGGTTTTGGGTGTTTTCCTCCATTTTGCGCTGGTTTCTTCCCATCTTTGTGGATTTATCCACCTATCATCTGTGTAGTTGCTGACTTTTCAATTGGGTCTCTGAATGGACACCCAGATTGTTGATGATGAAGTATTTCTGTTGCTTGGTTTTCCTTCTACCAGTCTAGCCCCTTCTCTGTATGACTGCTGAGATCCACTCCAGGCCCTGCTTGTCTGCGGTGCACCTATAGCAGCTGCGGAACAGTGAGGGATGCTACCAGTTTCTTTTTCTTCTATCTTTGTCCCAGAATGATGCCTGCCAAATGTCAGTCTTTTGGATATAGAGGGGTCAGGGAGCTGCTTGGGGAGACAGTCTGTACTTTATAGGAGCTCAATTGCTGAGCTGTGAGCTCTGTTGTTCATTCAGGGCTGTTAGGCTGGTATTTTTAATTCTGCTGCAACAGAACTCATTAAAAAAAACCTTTTTTTCTCAGATGCTTTGTTTGGGGGGGGTTGGGCTTTATTTTTGAGTGTCCATTGTGCTGTTCTGCTCAGCTAGGAGGCAGTCTAGTCACTATTTGCCTGCCGAGGCTCCGCCCTGCTGGTGTGAGGTTTGCCCTGTTGCTGCAGGCTCTGCCCTTCTGCTGCAGTCTCCGCCCTGCTGTCACGGGCTACGCCCTGCGGCGGAGTCTCTCTGTTTTAGCGGGTTGCCTCGGCAATGGCAGGCTGCATCAGCAATGGGCGTGTACCTCAGTAGGGGTGGGTTGCCTCGGTAATGGCAGACGCCCATCCCCCACAGAGCTGCGCTCTCTGGGAACCTCTCCACCAGGAGCGTTTGGAATCGCTGTTTTGTTTGTCACACTGCACTACCCCAAACGCTGTGTCCCTGGAATCTCCTGGGCTGGCTCACTGTCCAAGTCCCGTTCAGTCTCAAGTTCAGCCCTCTCAAGTCTCAGGTTGCCAGTTCAACAGGGCACCTGGACCAGTTCGCTTTGTGTGGAGCACTGTGTAGCGCTGCTGCACTAAGGCGCGGGCCGCCGCCACACCAGCTGCCGGCTACACCAGCCAAAACCTCTCCCTGGCATCCCGCATCTCTTTTGTACCTGGGAATCTCCTTGTTCTGTGGGCAACAAAGATCCGTCTGGAAATGCGGCCCTGACTCACCCTCTTTGCGCATGCACCGAGAGCTTCAATCCTGGGTTGTTCTCACAGCGCCATCTTGAGTCCTCCTCCTGGACTCTTTTTTTGTTTTGTTTTTTTGTTAGAACCAGAAATCTCAATCCTTGCTTTTAACTTGAATATTTAATGCATTTACACTTAATGTAATTACTAATATGCTTGAATTTATATATACTACCTTTCTATTAGTTTTTACCTATTTTTTCATTTTTTTCTTGACTTTATATATTACATAATTTTTTTACTTTTTTTCCTTTGTTTATTTGTTACAATTCTTCTACTATTTATTTCTTACCCTAGGTATTAAAACATCCATCTTTAACTTATTTTATCTCCCTAATAATGCTAGGATACTAAAATACTTTAATTCTATTTATTGCCTCCCACTTTTGCATTATTATTTCCATGAATGTAATTTTTGCATATATTTTAAACCTCCCAGAATAGTACTGTTGCTGTTTTGCATAGTCAGTATTTGCACTTTTGTAAAGAGGTATTTGAAGAGCTTCTTGAATCCTAAGAGTTGATGTCATTCATAGCTATTACTTCTTCAAATATTGCTTCTTCCTTGCCCTCTCCTCTTTAACTCCTCAGACTCTGATAGTTTATGCCTATTTACTATGTCACACATGTTCCTAATGTTCCTGTGGTTTTTTTTTCTTTTAAAAAAAAAAAATCTCTGCTTCAGTTTGGATATTTTCTATTTACTTGTCTTCCATTTTAGTAATTCTGCATTTTGCTGTTAAACCTGTATAAGGACTTCTTAATTTTAGATACTGGATTTTTCAACTTTTGAACTTTGGTTTGATTCTTTATTATAAAAACCAATTATCGAAAGATATTCATCTTCTCATCTAACTCCAATTCTCTGTGTAACTGTTCCTTTTTTTTTTTTTTTTTTAGAAAAATATGTTTCGTTGAAACCTAACAAGGTAATTTACATGGAGAGATACTTGTTTCTCTTTTGAATTATCGTTAGGTTAAAACATAAAATTACTAAGAAAAATTTAGATGCTCATCGTTCCCATCTTAGATTTACTTTCACTATGAACTTTATACATTCTTTTATTTTGAGACAGAGTCTCACTCTGTTTCCCAGGCTGGAGTGCAGTGTCTCGAACTTGGCTCACTGCAGCCTCTGCATCTCAGGTTCAAGTGTTTCTCCTGCCTCAGCTTCCTGAGTGGCTGAGACTATAGGTGTGCACTACCACGCCTGGCAAATTTTTTTTAGAAATAGAAAAACTGTTTCTATTGAATTTTTCTTTCTCTGATTTTGGATATGTGGTCCTATATTTCTGTATGTATAGGATTTGTTTGTTTCAAACACCACGTATAAAAAGTGGTAGGCAGGGCTTATACCTGGGAGACTGAGGTGGGCAGATCACTTGAGCTCAAGAGTTCAAGACCAGTCTGGGCAACATGGTGAAACCCATCTCTGCAAAAGATAAAGAAATTAGCTGGGCATGGTAGCATGTGCCTGCAGTCCCAGCTACTTGGGGGTGCTGAGACAGGATGATCACTTGAGTCCAGGTTGAGGCTACAGCGAGCCATGTGCATGCCACTGCACTCCATCCTGGATGACAGAGCAAGACCTTGTCTCAGAAAAAAAAGAAAGAAAAGATGCAGAGGATCTGAATGGTGTTATCTTTCTCCACAGAGGATTCATCTTTTCTTATGTCAGCAAATGGAGGGAAGGGAGAACATGTACATCCAGTCAGGCACAGTGTTGAATCAAGGCCAGGTTGAAGCTCTGCTAAGATTCCATTTACCTCTGGATCACCCTGACTACTGAGAATCTTCAGCTGAGAGCCCTTCTGTCCTCTAGAGACCCTCCTCCTGATAGATGCCCAACTGTTTTCTTAAAGATACTAGGCTTTTGCTTTGCTCTTCAAAGGCTATTTGCTTACATTTTTAGTCTTCTGCCCTGTATGCCCTAGAATTCAGCAAATATCCAGAGAAGAAAACTGCCATGTTCTTGAGTTACATTGGTTTCTCTGTCACCCAGCTGCAGCCTTCTACTGCATTCTCCAGTAGATAGGACAAAATGAGAATCCAGGACAAAAGCTGGATTCTCCTCACCTTTTGTCCACACCCAGAATTGGTAAATGCTCCACTGTCAAATGGCTGCACTAATCAGCCTCAGTCTTGAGTATCCTCTCCAGTCTTAGCCCCTACATTTCTTGTTACCTCGGCAGCTTTCCAGTGCTTTAAAACAGATTATTTCAGTATTGCATCTGGCATTTACTGTTCATTCTTGAAAGAAGCACTGGACTACCAAGCTACTGTATCCCATCTGGAAATGGCAGTGCCAGAAAACAACCCTCCCCTTCATACATCACACAGTTTACCGTTTAAAGTGTGCCATGTATTGATTGTTAGTATATTCAATCAGTTGTACAACCATCATTATAATCAATATGAGACATTTTCTTTATCATCCTGATGGGTGTGAGGTAATACCTTATAGCTTTAATTTGTATTTCCCTAGAGACTAATGATGTTGAGCATCTTTTCGTGTGCTTATTGACTATCAGAATATCTTCCTTGGAGAAATGTCTGTTTAAGCTTTTTACCCATTTTTAAAATAATGTTGTTGTTGTTGAATTGTAGAAGTTCTTTACAGTATACTGTTTCACAGTAAAAATAAAGGCCTATCTTATTTCCATTCTGTAATCTCTATCCTTCACATTGAATAGTTTTGTTTTGTTTTACAGGAATCAGTTTCATTCAAGGATGTAACTGTGGACTTCAGCAGAGATGAGTGGCAACGATTAAACATTGCTCAGAAAAGTCTGTACAGAGATGTGATGCTGGAAAACTATTTCAACTTGATCTCAGTGGGTAAGCACAGCTCTGCTGGGTATACAGTAGGCTGCAGCTAATTGAGTATTATTTTTTTCTCAGTAGAATTGCTGAAGTCTGTGTTTTCTGAGGTATGTGGGACTTCTAAAGACTACAGGACATCTAAAATGTGTAATGGTTTTGTCCTTATTTCGTCCCATGTTCTTAATTTTTTTTGGGTAGCGTGAATATTCCTCTGTTCCCAGTGAACTTTTCTAGAAAGCAAATGGAATGCTTCATTGTGTATGGCCTCTGAAACCAAGTCCTCTATCATCTCCTGTTAACAGGGTGTCAAGTTCCCAAACCAGAAGTCATCTTCAACTTGGAACAAGAAGAGCCATGTATGTTGAATGGTGGGATCTCCAGTCAGAGCTGTCCAGGTTAGACGGGAACCAAGAACATGGTAGACAGTATGACTCAGCTGCATTTGTACTGGGAGAGGCTATGCACAACTTTGCACAACTTTGATATGTCATTAATATGACTTTTAGAACTGCTTTGATAGAGCAGTTATTGGACAAGGACCCTTGGATATCTAAATGCTAACCCCACTTAAGACCCCTTCTCATATCAATGCCTTCTTTGCTTGGCTTTTTAGGAGAGAATGTGCCACAATTACCGGTTCTCTTGATCATGTCACAACCTACTTTCTAGAGTCCTGCTTTTTTGCTTCTCTCTTTCCCTAGAAAAGTTTTATTCTTTTTTTATTCCATCAGAGTCTTAGATCATTTCCTTTTGCATTCAAATACTCACAGATCTACTTTCTTAAAAAATTATTGTGCATATCATCATCAATGTGTTTATGGCTCCCCACTTATTTATTCTTTTCAATCCTTACTCTCCATACTCATTTTTATCCTCCCAAGAGGCAACTGTTCTCATATACATGACATGTTATGCCACTTATCCTTGAATTTGTGGGCTATTTGTAAAATCTGAGTTGTTGGTATTGTGAATTACAATATCCTAATCAGTTTTTTTTCTCAAATTGGTCCATGTTGCAATGTATTTTTCTAATTGCTACATATCATCTGTATTGCACATATATACCACGTTTTACTTGTCCAGTTTTTCAGCTACTACGAACAGTACTGCAATACATTTTTTCATGAATTATTCTTATTGGAGATGAGACTGTCTTAAGGAAGAGGAGTGGGATTACTTTATCGCTGAGTATACTAATACTTAATATGATGAGATACAAGCACATCATTTTCCAGATTGGCTGTGTCACTCTACAATACCTGGAACTTTGTACAAGGGTATTAGGTTCCCCACATCCCTACCCATACATACCTGGTATTATCCAAATTTTTAATAATTTAGCTAATCTGATGGGTTTTACATTCTAATTATTATTTAATTTGTATTTCCATATAAAATACTTTGAACATCTCATTCTGTATCATTCCTTTTTGATGTTCAACTGCTGACATTTTCTAAGCCTCACCCTTCTCTTTTTCTGCCCCACACCTGGACAAACTGAGACAAAAGCCCATGTGTTCGTTCCATTGATGCTCGTGGGAAATTCCAACTACATAAGGGAATAATCAGCCCAGCCCCACCCCACCCCCTGCCATAAACCCCCCAAGACAGTCCTTTCCTTGCTTACTCTAGCCCCATTGGGAATTGATTGGAGCTGTCCCCAGAAAGCCTCATTATGTGAGTAATAAGTCTTTTTATACCCTCTTACTGTGTGTGTCTTATCATCACTCTTGACATCTGAACCAGGTTTGAGGTCAGGTCCATTTCTCCTTTGCAGGTCATTTACAGCTGGGACAGTGAGCAGAATGTCCAGCCAATGACCACCCTCACAGCTAGCTCTTCCTAGCTGGTTATACTGCCTTCTGGCAAGTGTGCACTTCTCCTCTGTCCTATACATAACCAACTGACATTAGAAGTTATCATGGACATTTAGAGACAGGTGTAAGGGCTTTGGGCCCTCCTTAAAGTTGCCCTGGGCCATGTGTCTCAGCCTAGACCTATCTGTGTCTCAGATTATGTGTCTCAGCTGCAGCATAAGCGCTGAGTGATAATTGGCTCATGGGAACAACTTTTACTCTGTCACTGTTCTTTGTGTATCTCAGTCAGGCATTGGCCCTGTTGTATATAGCATTCAGGAGAAAGACCAATACCTTGTGCATATCAGCTTCTGGCTGTTTGTGTGAAGGAAGACAAGATACAATGTAGCATGCTAAAAGCAGGTGGCTTGTTTTTCAAAATGTTGTCATCCTTTCTTGTAGTTTTTTACTTTTCCCTCTAATCTGTCTTCTCAGATCATTCATTCTGCTCGTCTACTTACTATTCTCATTTAGAAAACACCACTTACCTCCCAGTCATATCACCTACAACCATGTCTATTTTCTCATGCCTGGATTATTCTAATCCTATTTGTATGTGATAATCCCATTTTTTTCTTTTTCAATATTTCATCTCAGATGCTACTGATAGATTTCATTACTTAAAACATTGTGTGCTGTGTTTATCCTGTCATTGCTACATGGAACAAAACTAAAGTTACTACTTACTAGCTAACATGTGACAGATTCTCCTCTCAGTAGGTTTGTAATCTAGAGAAAGAATGTGGCCTTATCTTTGCAACTCACATTTGTCCCTGTTTTCTGTGACCATTTCTACCCCATTTTAACATTTTCTTTAATGCTCCCTCTTCATTGAACCCTTTGATTATTTGCAATATATCTGCCTATTCAAATTTTACACATATTTTGACCAGGCATGGTGGCTCATGCCTGTAATACCAGCACTTTGGGAGGCCAGGGCAGGCAAATCACCTGAGGTCAGGAGTTCAAGACCAGCTTGGCCAACATGGTGAAACTCTGGCTCTACTAAAAGTAAAAAAATTAGCCAGGCGTGGTGACATGTGCCTGTTATCCCAGCTACCCAGGAGGCTGAGGCAGGAGAATCGCTTGAACCTAGAAGGCAGAGGTTGCAGTGAGCCAAGACTGCACCACTGCACTCCAGTCTGGGCAGCAAGAGCAAGACTCCATCTCAAAACAAAAAAAAAAACAAAAAAAGACAAATAATACACAAATTTTGTGCTCAGCTTTCACTTACTCCTTGACTTGGACCTATTGCAGCATACAACCTCCAGAAATTCAGAGAAACCTACATTAAATTATATAATAACTGAGCCTTTTACCCTTGTACATTAAAAAACAAAGTTTCTGTAGAAAATAGTGAAATTATATTCTTGAATTTGTGTTATAGGCAGAGGAGGTCATTTTGCTCTATTTCAGAAAAATTTTTAAATTTTTCTTCTAGGAGCAATTCAAAGGGCTAGGGAAACTAATTGGAAAGAGAGAATAACTGCATGAAATCTTGAAAATTTCAGTCTTTGTGCATTATACATTTGCTAACATGCACATCTATGCCAATTCAAGTATAAATATGAGTGGTTCAGAGTATCTTTTTGTTGTTTTTTTTTTTTTAAGTTAAAAGAGAGAGCCTCTCTAGAGTTGTGGTGAAATTTGAAATTAGTTTTTAAAGCAGAGAACCCCAGATGATTAATGAAGAACAATGAATTTTGAATAGAAACAAAAGATCAGAAAAAGGAAGATTAAATGAAGAAAATGAAAAGACTATATATTTAGATTCGGTAACAAAATAGATTGCAGTGTTCGTCCCTTTTCTATGGCCATAATGCCAGGCAACTCTGTTTCCATGGCCATTCAGGGACAAAGTTTCTAGAAAGTCATTGTACCACCATCCCCTAGGGCAGGGGCTGACAAATTTTTTGTAAAGGCACAAAAGTAAATAGGCTTTGTGGATCATATGGCTGCTGTTACAACTACTCATTTCTGCAGCTGTAGTCCTGAAAAAGCTAGAAAATATATCAATGAATGTGTGTGGCTGTGTTCCAGTAAAAACTCTGTAGACACTAAAATTTAAATTTCATATAATTTTCACATCATGAAGTAGTATCCTTTTGATAAATTTTTTGGCCATTAAATGTAAAATCTATTCTTAGGTCTCATGTAGGGACCTGGATTTGGCCCAAGGGCTTCAGTTTGCTGACCCCTGCTTTAGGGCATTGCCAGCTTCGCAGAACTGGTTGCTGCCAACTTGGAATATACTGGTGGGAAAAGAAGAGGTTTGTGGGAGACAAACCCACTTTCTTGAGACATTGGCCTTATCACAACAGATACGATTTTTACTCCCACTGATTAGTGAAAAAGTGTTACTTAGTCCTACCTAGTGACAAATGAAGCTGGACAAACCTAGTGTTGTGAGGCAGCCATGTACTTTGCTACAAGCTTAAGATTGAAGGAAGGACATAGGTTTGATAGACAACTTCTCTTCCTCTGATGTCTGGTTCTTTCCTATTACATCTTCTACTAGATGCATTTATCATATCAGTACCCCAAACTAGGGATGAAGATTTGAACCATAGGCCAGGTACAGTGGCTCATACCTGTAATCCCAGCACTTTGGGAGGCTGAGGCAGACAGATCACTTGAGGTCAGGAGTTTGAGACCAGCCTGGCCAACATGGTGAAACCCCATCTCTACTAAAAATACAAAAATTAGTATTTTTACAAATACATGTATGGGGTCACACACTGGTAGTCCTACTTACTCATGTGGCTGAGGCAGGAGAATTGCTTAAATACAGGAGGCGGAGGTTGCAGTAAACCAAGATCACACCATTGCAGTCTAGCCACTCCAGCCTGGCTGACAGTGAGGCTCCATCTCAAAAGAAAATAGACCAATTGATATATAGAGTTGATTCAAGCAAACAGAAAAATGAGAGAGTCTATATGAATATAACAAATATTCAGATGAGACTTTGGACTGATAATTTAAAAAAGAAATATAACAAATATATATATATACATTTTACTGTTTACTGTTTGGCTAACTTAGGATGATTAAGCTATCATGATTTTACTATAAGCACTAATAAATTGGTATTTAGGGCACAGTGGATCATAGAGAAAATGCAAAACAGGAAGATTGTGAGGGCTTACAGATTAAAGATAAGAATCTAGACTCAGAAATACTTCTTTTAAGCCACAGAGTTTGTTCTTCTGAAACCTCACTCACTATGCAGTTCTACTACACTTGCACCAAATTGAAATTTCTTCCCCAATTACTAAACATTTGATTTAGGCAAATTACTGAATTCTTCTATGGCTCAGTTTCCTCATCTGTAAACTAGAAACAATAATAATACCAACAGCAAAGCGTTGCAATAAAGTGCTTTTTGTTTTTGTTTTTAAGAGACAGGGTCTCAGCTGGGCCTGGTGGCTTACACCTGTAATCCCAGCACTTTGAGAGGTCAAGGCGGACAGATCATTTGAGGTCAAGAGTTCGAGACCAGCCTGGCCAATATGGTGAATCCTTGTTTCTACTAAAAATATAAAAATTGGCCAGGAATGGTGGCATGCACCTGTAGTTCCAGCTGCTCAGGAGGCTGAGGCACAAGAATCCCTTGAACTCAGGAGGTGGAGATTGCAGTGAGCCACGATCTCGCCATTACACTTCAGAGCCTGGGCAACAGTGAGACCCTGTCTCAAAAAAAGGAAAAGAAAACAGAGAGACAAGGTCTCACTCTGTTTCCCAGGCTGGAGTGTAATGGTGCAAACGTAGCTTAATGCAGCTTCAGACACCTGGGTTCAAGTGATCCTCCTGCTTCAGCCTCCTGAGTAGCTGGGACTATAAGCACATGCCACTGTACCCCGCTAATTTTTTGTTTTATCTGTAAAGATGGGGGTATCACTATGTTACCCAGGTTGGTCTCATACTCCTGGACTCAAGCAATCCTCTCATCTCAACTTCCCAAGTCCTGGGATTACAGGCATGAGCCAGCAACGACATCTGGCTGGGATAAAATTTAGGTCAATTAATATAGAACTTAGAACAGCATATCTAAATGGTATTGTTTATCATGTCATAAATGTATTAATATTATTACTGTATATCATTGTATTTATTATATAAATAGATTATTATACCTATATATTTATGTATATTTTATATGTTCATGTACATTTGTTATACTTACATAGCCTGTCTCATTTCCCTGTTTTTGCCTTGGATCAACTGTGTGTATCAGTTAGTCTTATTTTTTTGTGTGTGTGGAAACAGTTTTGCTCTGTCACCCAGGCGAGAGTACGGTGGCACAATTTCAGCTCACTGCAGCCTCTGCCTTCAAGCCATTCTCTTGCCTCAGCCACTCAAGTAGCTAGGATTACAGGCATGCGGCACCACACCTGAATAATTTTTAGTAGAGACAGTATCTGAGTATCTGTAGTGTTTTTGTAGAGACAGAGTTTGCCATGTTGCCCAGGCTGGTCTCAAACTCCTGGCTTCAACTAATCTGTCCACCTCAGCCTACCAAAATGCTGAAATTACAGGAGTGAGCCACCACACCTGGCCTTATTTTCTGTTAATTATTCTTTCTATCAGTCTTTTCTTTCTTTTTTAGATGGGAAAATTGGTTTTGAACCTTTACAACAGAGAATGTCTGAAGAAGTTTCTTTCCAGTCTGAGAGAATTAATCTCTTCACAAGAGATGACCCATATTCCATTTTAGAAAAGTTGTGTAAAGATGATGAACACACGAGAAGATGTGGAGAAAACCAGAACAAACCTTTAAGTCGTGTTGCCTTCATTCACAAGAAAACACTAGCTAATGACAGGGTCTGTGACTATAAGGTTATTGGGGAAATAGTTCATGTAAACACACACCTGGTTTCCTCAAGAAAAAGACTCCATAACTGTAACTCATTTGGAAAGAATTTGGAGCCTATTATAACCTTATATAATGGAAATCCAACAGATGATTCTGATGAGATTATTGGAGATGGTGATATTTTTACTCATATGAATTCTCATATAGTAGTGACTGCTTGTGAATGTAATCAATGTAGGAAACCTGTCCATCATAAGCAAGCTCTCATTCAACATCAGAAAATTCATACTAGAGACAGCCTCTATTTGTTTTCTGACTGTGTAAATGTTTTCTCCCAGAATTCACATGCCTTTGCACATGAGAGTATTTGTACTGAAGAAAAGCAGCATAAATGCCATGAATGTGAGGCAGTCTTCACTGAGAAGTCTCAACTTGATGGCCATCAGAGGGTTTATGCAGGAGAGAAACCTTGTGTATGCAGTGAATATGAGAAGGATTTTTTCCTCAAGTCAAACATTCAGAAAACGCCTAATGAGGAGAATTACTATAAATGCAATGACTATGGGAGAGCCTTTATCCAGAAGTCAGATCTGTTCAGATGCCAGAGAATTCATTCTGGAGAAAAACCCTATGTGAACAGCGAATCTGAGAAAACCTTCTCTCAGAATTCAAACCTTAATAAAAAAATTCATACTGGAGGGAAACACTTTGAATGTACTGAATGTGGAAAAGCCTTCACAAGGAAATCAACACTAAGTATGCATCAGAAAATCCATACAGGAGAAAAACCCTATGTGTGTACTGAATGTGGGAAGGCCTTTATCCGGAAGTCACATTTTATCACACATGAAAGAATTCATACTGGGGAAAAACCCTATGAATGCCGTGACTGTGGGAAATCCTTTATTAAAAAATCACAACTCCATGTGCATCAGCGAATTCACACAGGAGAGAATCCCTTTATATGTTCAGAATGTGGGAAGGTTTTCACTCACAAGACAAATCTCATTATACACCAGAAAATTCATACTGGAGAAAGACCCTATATATGTACTGAATGTGGTAAGGCCTTTACTGACAGGTCAAATCTCATTAAGCACCAAAAAATTCATACTGGAGAGAAACCTTATAAATGCAGCGACTGTGGAAAATCATTCACCTGGAAGTCACGGCTCAGGATACATCAGAAGTGTCATACCGGAGAGAGACATTATGAATGCAGTGAATGTGGGAAAGCATTCATTCAGAAGTCAACACTAAGTATGCACCAGAGAATTCATAGAGGAGAAAAACCATATGTTTGCACTGAATGTGGTAAGGCCTTCTTCCACAAATCACATTTTATTACACATGAAAGAATTCATACTGGAGAGAAACCCTATGAATGCAGTATTTGTGGGAAATCCTTCACTAAGAAATCACAACTCCATGTACATCAGCAAATTCACACAGGAGAGAAACCCTATAGATGTGCTGAATGTGGAAAGGCTTTTACTGACAGATCAAATCTTTTTACACACCAGAAAATTCACACTGGAGAAAAACCTTATAAATGCAGTGACTGTGGGAAAGCCTTCACTCGGAAGTCAGGTCTCCATATACATCAGCAATCCCATACTGGAGAAAGGCATTATGAGTGCAGTGAATGTGGGAAAGCCTTTGCAAGAAAATCAACACTTATCATGCATCAGAGAATTCATACAGGAGAGAAGCCCTATATTTGTACTGAATGTGGGAAATCCTTCATCCAGAAGTCACACTTAAATAGACACAGGAGAATTCATACTGGAGAGAAACCCTATAAATGCAGTGACTGTGGGAAATCTTTCATTAAGAAGTCACAACTCCATGAGCATCATCGAATTCACACAGGAGAGAAACCATATATATGTGCTGAGTGTGGAAAGGCCTTCACCATCAGATCAAATCTTATTAAACACCAGAAAATTCATACTAAACAGAAACCCTATAAGTGCAATGACTTGGGGAAAATCTTAAACTGGAAGCCGCAACTCAGTATGCCTCAGAAATCTGACACTGGGAAAGCAGAGTGCCCAATGCCACAATTATGGTATAGGGACTCAGGAGGTGACCAAGGCCAGCTTTCTTCTATCTAGTTGGAATTATGAACATCTGGATTATATAGCTGATACCCAGTTACACATATGGGGAGATACTCTCAGTAGTATTTAAGCAATGTATAGTGGCCATATTTACTTACTTAACAGACATTGGTGTTATCAAGCTCCTGCAAATAATACTAAATGTGCAAGGAAATGACTTGCATTCTTGTTTCACTTTTTGGGCAAACAGTTTTATAAATTCAGGGCTGTTGAGTTTTTCATGTTCTGGGTACTATTCAGTATTGACACAATAAAATTCATAATGAGTAGAGTGATAATTTTACATTGTCTAAGCAGCTTAAGGACACTGAGATCAAGACAAAAGGAGGGCAATTCAGGTCTATACTGAAAATAGATCAGCAGTTTTTGTGAAAATTGACACTAAAGACAGAAAGAGAGGACTCTACTTTTTTTCTCTTTTCTTTGGGAAGTCACCATTATATATTGTTATATGTGTTGGTATATGCCAAGACAGCAGGTACCAAGGAGGTCTGAAATTGCTCCTGGCCTATTTATCAAAAGCCTATTTTCCTAATGATGTACAGTCCTCTAACTCCTTATCACCTTGGAACTGGCCCTAAGATCGTGGAACATAGCTACAGGGACCCAACTCTAGATAGCAGCACTTTAGATCCTCAGCTTTGATCACAGAAACCTGCACTTTGTGGATATTGTTGTTACCAATTCCTGTTTGAAAAATAGGACAAATTAAGAAAATGGATGTCAAACCCTAAAATTTTTTTTGATTTTCTTAGTACATTCTGTACATACATATTCGTTACTTGCTAGATTACCATGAGTTTGTTTCATTAGGAGATAAAATGTAGTTGAACATTTGGAAGACTTCTCCTTTTATCTCCTGGCAATCTTTACAAACTAATCTTAATTAATTTTGTTTTTCAAATTCTCTGTATTTGAATAGATGTTTTTTGTCTTCTATCAGATACTGAAAGAAGTGTGTTGTAATTTTACAAATAATTGTGAATATGTCTACTTTAGAGCTACTAATTTTTGCTTTATGTATTTTGTCTTTGATTTTACATACAATTTAGAATTGTTGCAATCTTCCTAGTTAATTGACACATTATCATTATTAGATGTTTCTTTTTATCGCTAGTAATTTTTTGCCTTAAATATACTATATCAGATACTTATATAATATCTGTACTGATTAAAAGCTAATGTAAATTAGTACTAACAATATTTCTGGACAAGGGGAAAAGTTATAACATTTATTCCATTTATCTGTCCCTCATATGGTATTGATGTTGTATATTTGGATTCTGTATATGGTGGACATAGCCAATCATTATTTGAGTCAATATCCGTTTAAATTAATCCACATATTTATCATTTTCATTACTTTTTTATTCCTTCCTGTCCCTTAAGTTTTTCTTTAAAAATTTTTTGTTTTCTTACTGAAAAACACCCTTTAGTATTTCTCTTACTGTGAGTCTGCTGGTGACAAATTGTTTTTCGTTTGTTGGCAATGTTTTATTTTGCCTTCATTTTTGAAGGATACTTTTATTGAATATGGAATTCTAAGTTGAAAGTTATTTTCTATTAGTATTTTGATGATATTTTCTTTTGGTCTGTCTTTTATTGTTTTATTGAGAAGTAAGCTTTATACAATTACCTTTGTAAGAAATCTGCTTTTCTGTCTTCTTTGAAATTTATCTATTTGTCTTTTTAACAGTTGCACATTGATATGCCTAGGTGTAATTTCTCTATGTATTTATCCTCCTTGGAGTTTATAATGATTTTTAAATTTGTGGCTTAGTAGTTTTTGGGGTGTGTGTGTTGTGTGCTTGCATGTGTGTGCAAACACATGCATTTTGGGAAATTCCTAGCTATTATCTATTTATGCATCTGCCTCATTTTCTCTCTTTCTTTTAGGGATAGCCTTCTTACCTAGCTCTCCTGTTGGCCTATTTCTAATGGTTGGTATTTTTCTCCAGTTTTGCTGATGTCCTATCTCTTTATATCATGATTTTTTTATATCACTTGCCAGACAATATATATTAAAATTGTAGAGGTAATAAGATGGTCTGGATAATACCTTCTTCCACAGAAGATTTACCATAGCTTCTAACAGGTGATTAGGCTAGGTCACTAGTAATTCCTGATTGCCTTTATCCAGTCACGTATTGAGATCATTTGAAACTGGGCTTGAGTCTGAAAGACTTCTCTTATTTTATTATATGTTCAAAATGTGAACATATAAACCTTATTTCTAGGATAATTTTAGGACTTAGGACTTTTGGAGGTATGTCAGGCCCTTCTTCTTTGGAAAGACTTGAATTCTAGTATTTGTCCTTCAGACACTTGAATTTGTCAAAAATTCTCTCCAGCCTCTCTTGCCCAGTATTTGCCTTCAGAACTAGCAAATACCTCTTAACTATAAACAGTCCCAAATTTCAGGCACTATGTCTTGTCTCTATTTTATTCCTGCAGTTTCTCACTGCTGTGATAACTTTCTTATGCCTTCAAGAAATTAAATGTGTTTAATATTTTCATCCACCTTTTTTAGTTCTCAAAGGAAGTACTAGTCTGTACCACCTATTTTGCCACTGGCACAAGTTTTCAACTCATTGAGATAGCTGTTTCTATTGAAGAAGTATCAAGACCAAAAATCTATTTTCTAAATTACCAAAATTACTGACTTGTAAATGAAAATGCTTAGATTTGCAGTATTACTTTATTCCAGTCTTTTGTTGCTAAAAGTCTTAAGGCATTCGCTCATTTGTTAAAACCTTTACAAACTTTGATACGTAAGAGAAAATTACCTCTGGTGGTTTCAGTTTTTTTTTTTTTTGGTACCTGCCAAATTTTAGCAAATGGAAGAGATTGACTAAAAGCTTCTCGCGCGCGATGTCTTTTTTAATACTATGATTTTTCCTTTGTATAATTAGTAGAAAATGGGGTTAATGAAGACTGGTATAGAGTACCAAGTTTTGAAAAATTAACTTTGTAGGATTACTGAGCTAGCGATTCTCAACCTTTATTCTCAAGCACATATTTAGAAAATAGATTTTTACACTCCCAAGGAAAAGAAAAAAAGTATAAAAGAGCTACTTGACCTTTTGTCAACACAGGATTGAGCTCCAGAAGAAAGAAAGACTTTCTTGTATCTCAAGGAGCACTTGTGAATTGATTGAGGAATAAATTATCTAAAACTTTGAGTGAATTGGGAGAGCTAAATGTTAAGTAGAACTCAAAGGTTAGTATAGTTTGGAGGCTTGTGGAATATAGACTTTACTAGGGAAAACACTGTGTTAGCCGTATCTCCTCTTTTTTCTTTTTTTCTTTTTTTTTTTTTTTCTGTGATAGAGTATTGATCTATCACCCAGGCTGGAGTGCACTTTCGCAGTCTTGGCTCACTGCAAGCTCCTGGGTTCAAGCGATTCTCATGCCTCAACCTCCCAAGTAGCTGGGATTACAGTCATGGACCACCACACCCAGTGAATTTTTGTATATTTAGGGAAGATGGGATTTCACTATGTTGGCCAGGCTGGTCTTGAACTCCTGGTTTAAGTGATCCACCTACCTGGTCCTCCCAAAGTGCTAGGATTACAGGCGTGAACCACTATGCCAAGCCAACCATTTCTTTTTATGCCAGCACTCTATTATAATTCATCTGTATTTACAGAAAACTATTTTAAGAGAGTTTTACAGTTAAATGTTTTAATAAAAATGCATTTTGTTCTATTTTATTAATTTCAATGTTTTTTTAAATTTAGTGACAGGGTCTGTCTCTGTCACCCAGGGTGGAGTGCAGTGGTATGATCATAGCTCACTGTAGACTTCAACTCATAGGCTCAAGCAACCCTCCTGCCTTACCCTTCCAAGTAGCTCAGACCACAAGCTTGTGCTACTACACCTGGCTTTTTTTTTGAAGTGGGGGTGCAGGGAGAGATGAGACCTTGCTTTGTTGCCCAGGCTTCAAGCAGTCCTCCCACCTTGGCCTCCCAAAGTGCTAGGATTACAGATGTGAGCCACTGAACCTAGCCAAAAATGCATTTTAAATTAATTTTTTAAAAATGAATCATACTGCAAATTCAGAAAATATAAGAAAACATATACTCAAACATTTAATTATGCATTGATAATTCATGGGGAGAGTAATTTTCTGTTTGTACTGAATGTGGGTAGGGTTTTCTTTAAAAGTCATACTTAATTATAGATCAGAAAATGTATGCTGGAGAGAAACTTTATGAATATGATGACTAGGGAATCTTCCACTGAAAAGTTAACAACCTGAACATAGTAAATTCACACATGAGAAAAAGCAATAATTCAAATCCCATTATACATTAAAAACAATTCGGAGAACAAAGCCTATAAGAACAGTGACTGAAGACACTTCACCTGGAATTTATCAGAATGTTTCCATCAGAAGGAGACAACAAAAGAGCAAATGTGAGAGTAGCTTCACACGGAAATCAGTTCTCAGTATTCTTGAGCATTTACACATGCGTAAAAGTGTATTTATTGAAAGTGAAAAAGTCTTCACGGAACTCAGAACCAATTTTAAGTTATTCATACTACAGAGAAGCCCTGTGACTACTGTACAATATATATTGTATATGGAAAAATCTTTGTCCATGAGTCACACCTCACTGTATACCAGACAAGTAATTGAGAAGAATACGTCTTCTAAGAATACATCATTTTATTAAATGCTATAAAATTCAAGTAGAAAAGAAAATCTATTTGATACATTGCAAAAAGTCTTCCTATAGAAGCAGATTTCATAATGAATATAATTCATTTTGTTCACTGATTTAACTTCAAGCCCATGTCTCAAACCAGTGGAGAAAAACAGACCATCCAACACTTGCCTATCCTTTTGTTAAAATAAATATTTACATATACACACACATACATACATATATATATAACTTGGCATAAGTGTGACTTTATTTACTTTAGAGACAGGATTTCAATCTTTTGCCCAGGCACCCAGGTGGGAGTCTAGTAGCACAATCCTGGCTCACTGCAGCCTCGACCCCCTGAGCTCAAGTGAACCTCCTGCCTTAGCCTGTTGAGTAGCTGGGACCATGGGCACACACCACAATACCTACTAATTTTTTTAGTTTTTATAGAGATGGAGTCTTGCTATGTTTCCCAGGTTGGTCTCAAACTCCTAGCCTCAAGCAGTTCTTTTGCCTCAGCCTCCCAAAGTGCTGAGATTACAGGCATGAGTTACCACCCCTGGCCTAACTGTAACTTTTATATTTTATGTCTTCTCAATTTTTGTGCCTCCATTCAAAGCAACTCCAATAGTCTGTCAACAGATAATTAAAGCTAATCCACTTTACATTTTTGTATATATTCACAATCACAGTCGCATTAATGTCATCTGTAACATATATTAATGTTTGTGTTTTCATTGTCATACATAAGAGAGATTATATACTCATTTTTGCACCCTTTACATTTAATGATTTTTAACTAGCTGAAGAGAGTCCATGGTGTGGACGTACTACAGTTTTTTTTACCATATTGCCACTGGTTATTCACATTTTTGTCATAAAGAAAAATGATCTTTTATAACTCCCTGAGAAATTATTGGATAAGTACAATCATGCTCTTACCAATGGGAGATTACTTTTTTCTGTAGCATATGCTTCTAGTAATGGGATTGATCAAATGGTACATGTTATTTTAACAGATGTTGCCAGATTCCTTTGTCCTAAGACTAGCTTTTTATATTTTGAATATTAGTGTATAAATGTACATCTTTCCCCCTACTAAAAGTAGCTGTTGCTCTTCCCCCCTTCTGCCCCCCCAAGACTGAGTCTCTATTGCCCAGGCTGGAGTGCAGAGGCACCATGTTGGCTCACTGCAACCTCTGCCTCCTGGGTTCAAGCGATTCTCGTGCCTCAACCTCCCAAGTGGCTGGGATTACAGGTTTCCACCACCACACCCGGCTATTTTTTGTATTTTTAGTAGAGTTGGGGATTCACCATATTGATCAGGCTGGTCTCAAACTCCTGAAATCAAATGATCCACCAGCCCCAGCCTCCCAAAGTGCTGGGATTACAGGCATGAGCTACCATGCCTGGCCGCTGTTACTCTTTAACCTTGAGAAGTTTTACAGTTCCAAGTGACCTCTAATTATAATTTGTGTATTAACATGCCTCTAAATGTGTCTTGGCCATTTGAATTTGCTATTGTGTAAATTGCCTTTATAAACTATATATTTTTCTTTTTTGATTGTTTAGCTTATTAATTTATAACAGCTTTTTATGTTAAAGGGAGTAAAACCTTTTTTGGAAAACATCTACTCCTTGTCTCGACTTTGTATATGATATTATTCCATTCACATAATTTTATTTTCTACATGTTTAAATGTATCTCTATTCTTTTACAGCTTCTGAATTTTTAATCTTAAGATTTAAGCTTCACATATAATATTTTAAGTGTTCTTCTGTATAGTTTGTATATCTTTTGGGAAAATGATTCATTGCTTTTCTTGCACATGGATAGCCACAGTGGCAGATTCTGTTGCTTTTCTGAACCAGTATGCAATCCCCAAACTCCTCTATCACTGCTTACTTTACCTTTTTTTAAAATTTAACTTTTATTTTAAGTTCAGTGGTACATATGCAGATTTGTTACACAGATGTCATGGAAGTTTGTTGTACAGATTATTTCATCACCCAAAACCCATTAGTTATTTTTCCTGATCCTCTCCTTCCTCCCACTCTTCACCCTCCAATAGGCCCCAGTGTGTCTATGTCCATGTGTTCTCATCATTTAGCTCCCACTTATAAGTAAGAACATGTGATGTTTGGTTTTCTGTTCCTATATTAGTTTGCTAAGGATAATGGCCTTCAACTCCATCCATATCCCTGCCAAGGACATGCTCTCATTTTTTATGGCTTCATAGTATTCCATGATGTATATGTACCACATTTTCTTTATCCAGTCTACTATTGATGAGCATTTAGGTTGATTCCATGTCTTTGCTATTGTGAGTAGTGCTGCAACATCATCATCTTCTGAAACTGGTAGTGGCCAAATGACTTGCTTCAGCCCAAGAGAAGCAAAACACTGGTAGATGTATCGGGAATACCTTTATTTCCTAAGAAAAGAGACAGACTTAGCTGTAACCATCAATTCCATCCCTTTTCCTGCCTGGTATATTATGCCTCCAGCAGTGGTGGTCTTCTTTCAACCATTGGGGAAAGGCCAAAAGATTCACTGACACTGGTCCTGATGTTACTGAGTCAAAAGTAGCAGCAACTTAACTACAGACTTCAGCTATGTGGTAAAAATAAACACGTTTTGACATAAACCATTCCATTTTATTGTTCTTTTGTTGTGCCCAAAACCATACATAAACTTACCCAGGCAATGAAATTTATAAAATAATCTATCCTTTTCCTATTAAAATGAATATGAAAATACTTTAAAACCTTAGTAAACTAAATATCTCACACAAACCCAAATAAGGCAAAGAGATAGCAAAATTATACAAGATTTGTAATGAGTAAAAGACATGGATATTGAATCAATTCATAGGATCAGAAGAGAATGCTACCTACAGTAAATGGATGATTTCCTAGTGAGACACAATTGGTCAAAATTAATGAAAAACTGAAAAAAATTAATAATCCTGTTATAAATATCATTTACAGAGCTATTATTTAAAATTTACCAGAACTATAGGAAAAGATTTTTTTAGGTAGTATGCATAAATAATGAACTATAAAAGAAAGAAATCATAATTTGGAAGTTTCAAAATTAAAAACACTTGTCCTTTGAAAGCACTTAAGAAGACTCAGAATGGGTAGAAATAGTTACAACAGATTTCTGTCAAAAGATTTGTTTCTGAAAATATAGAATTTATAACCCAATTGTAAAAGGACAACTCAATAAAAATGACAATAGACTTCAACAGAGATATTCATAAAATAAGATACGAAATGGTCAATAGAGACAAGAAAGGATTTCAACGTAAGCCACCAGGGAAATACAAATCGAAGCCACAATAAGACACTTCTACACACTCATTAAAATTACGAAAATTAAAATGATTGACAGGACCAAGTGTTGAAAGATGTAGAGCAACTGGAACTCGTGTGGCAGGTAGGGATGTAAAATGGCACAAAGACTTTGGAAAATACTTTGGAAAATTCTTTTTTTTTTTTTTTTTTTAACTAGAGAACACCATCATCTTCCATTATTTTATTATTTATATACGTATGTGTGTGTGTGTACATATATACATATATATACATGTATATATGCGCATATCTGTTTTATGTACAATTGGTTCTATCAAATAATCGAACAAAGGCATTCTACGGGTAATTTGCCCCAAATCAATTCAGGTAAAATTAAGATATTTATGCACTTCACGGGCTACCAAAACTTGAGACTTCATTATCTATTTCAGTTCTGAGGCCATACACACAATTCAAAATATACGTTAACTAGGTTAAGGCGATAAGAGTGGGCTGAAAGAAACCTTGGATTCAGAACAATGAAACTGTATTTTGCTTGCATACGTCATAATATGAACAGAAAGTATTGTGCGTGTCTCATAACTCTTCAGTGTAGAGGGAGCAGCTTCTGAACAGCTAAGGTGATTGCACAGCTGGTGTAACCCGCTGGAGGCTTCGCCCAGGGAGGGCTCATTTCTTCTCTGCCTCTCCTTTTTTGTGTTCTTGTTTCAATCAGCCAGGGCGGCCTTGATTGCATCTTCAGCCAGCATGGAGCAGTGCAGTTTCACGGGAGGAAGGCAGAGCTCCTTGGCGATATCTGTATTTTTGATAGTCAAGGCTTCCTCCACCGTCTTTCCTTTCACCCATTCAGTGGCTAATGAGCTGGAGGCAATTGCAGAACCACAGCCAAATGTTTTAAACTTAGCATCCACAATCTTTCCCTTTTCATCCACTTGAATCTGTAATTTCATTACATTACCACGTGCTGGAGCCCCGACCAATCCAGTTCCAACATTTTTAGATGTCTTGTCAAGGGACCCCACGTTTCTAGGATTTTCTTTTCTTTTTTTTTCTTTTTTTTTCTTTTTTTTTCTTTTTTGAGGCGGAGTTTCGCTCTTGTTATCCAGGCCGGAGTGCAATGGCGCGATCTCGGCTCACCACAACCTCCGCCTCCTGGGTTCAGGCAATTCTCCTGCCTCAGCCTCCTGAGTAGCTGGGATTACAGGCACGCGCCACCATGCCCAGCTAATTTTTTGTATTTTTAGTAGAGACGGGGTTTCACCTCGTTGACCAGGATGGTCTCAATCTCTTGACCTCGTGATCCACCCGCCTTGGCCTCCCAAGGGTTGGGATTACAGGCGTGAGCCACCGCGCCCGGCCAAGATTTTTTTTTTTTTTTTTTTTTTTGAGACGGAGTTTCGCTCTTGTTACACAGGCTGGAGTGCAATGGCACGATCTCGGCTCACCGTAACCTCCGCCTTCTCGGTTCAAGCAATTCTCCTGCCTCAGCCTCCCGAGTAGCTGGGACTACAGGTGAGCACCACCATGCCCAGCTAATTTTTGTATTTTTAGTAGAGGCAGGGTTTCACCTTGTTGATCACGATGGTCTCGATCTCTTGACCTCATGATCCACCCGCCTCGGCCTCCCAAAGTGCTGGGATTATAGGCGGGAGCCACCACGCCCGGCCTCAAGATTTTCATAATGATCAACAACCTTCTTGTGATAGAGCCAGGCCGGGCCGACAGCTCCCGGGCAGGCAGGCGGGCGCTCTGGAGCAGCAGGGCCAAAGCCACCGCCATCTTGCTGGCCGGCAAATTCTTAAAAAGTTAAACACATAGGCAGAGGCGGGTGGATCACGAGGTCAAGAAATCGAGACCATCCTGGTCAACGAGGTGAAACCCCGTCTCTACTAAAAATACAAAAAATTAGCTGGGCATGGTGGCGCTTGCCTGTAATCCCAGCTACTCAGGAGGCTGAGGCAGGAGAATTGCCTGAACCCAGGAGGCGGAGGTTGTGGTGAGCCGAGATCGCGCCATTGCACTCCGGCCTGGGTAACAAGAGCGAAACTCCGTCTCAAAAAAAAAAAAACACAAACTGTCCCTTCATGGAAGCCATCTTTCTCTCTTGGATTTCCCCTCAGGAGTCCTCTTCCACACACACTCGTGGAAGCCTGTCTTCCATCTCTCTCTATGCCCTTTCACTCAGTGTGGAAGCTGCTTTCCTCTCCTGGATTCCGTCTTTTTGGATTCTCACTCAGTGTAAGAGTTAGCGGGTTCTTTCTCTCTCCTGTTTCTCTCTCTCTCTCTCTCTCTTTCTCTCTAAATAAATAAATAAATAAGTAAGTCACTTTCTACACACACACAAAACCCCACTTATTGTCTAACGTTTTAATCTTTAGAATTTATTGGAGTTTCTTTATGACCTAAAACATGGGTTATCTTTTTAAAGGTTCCACATACATTTGAAAACAATGTGTAGAATACAATCCTTGGATGTAGTGTTCTACATATATTAAGTCAAATTGGTTGACAGCATTTTTAAAGTCTTCTACCATCCTACTGGATTTATTTTTTGTCAAGCTTGTTCTCTCAATTACTGTGGAAGATATCAAATCTCCAAGCAAGATTGTGGATTTGGCTCTCTTTTTAGTTATATCAGTTTTTGCATAGTGTATTTTGAAGCTTTCTCTCAATCTTTCATCTTTAAATTAGAGACAGGGTCTTGATATGTCACCCAGACTACAGTGCAAGTGACATGATCATAGTTCAGTGAAGCCTTGGAATCCTAGGCTCAAGCCATCCTCCTGCCCCAGACTCCCTAGCAGCTGCTGCGCCTAGTTTATATTTTGAAGCTCTTTTATTTGGTACACACATATTTATCATTGTTACATCTTCCTGATAAATTGACCCTTGTTAACATCTTGAATTGTCTTTTTAAAAAAATCTCTGACAGGCTGTGCACGGTGGCTCATGTCTGTAATCCCAGCACTTTGGGAGGCCAAGGTGGGTGGATCACAAGGTCAGGAGTTCAAGACCAGTCTGGCCAAGATGATGAAGCCCCATCTCTATGAAAAATACAAAAAATTAGCTGGGTGTGGTGGCATGTGCCTGTAATCCCAGCTAATCGGGAGACTGAGGTGGAGAATTGCTTAAACCTGGGAGGTGGAGGTTGCAGTGAGCCCAGATCGCACCACTGCACTCCAGCCTGGGCAACAGAGTGGGACTCTGTCTCAGAAAAACTCTGGCAATATCCGCTGTACTGAGTTCATGTTAGTAACACATATTATATTTGTTGTTTGCAGGTACACTTCTTACCACCCTTTTACTGTTAATCAATCTGTATTTTTACCGTTAAAGCATATCTCTTTTAGATAATATACAGTTGGATCATGCTTTTTTATCCAGCTTGAAAGTCTCCATTTTTAAATTTCAGGTTTAAGTTCATTTAATGTAATTACTAATAGAGTAGGGCTTAAATCTGCTCCTTTGTTATTCATTTTCCAGTATGCTCATTTGTTTTTGTTGCTTAATAGTTTCGTTCCTGTGTTCCATTTTTTATTGTCAGCTTTTAAATTAATCAAATGTTTTTAGAATTCCATTTTTATTCCTTTATTGGATATTTACCTGTAATTCCCCATATTACTTTTAGGGGTTGGTTTATAAATCAACATGGTCTTTCTTAATTTATCATAATATACTTAGAGTTAAGATTGTACTACTTCTCAAAAAATTTAAAATCCTTTCAACAATAAAATTATACTTGTGCCCTGTCCTTTTGGCTACTGTCATATACTTATAGCAACATATGTAAGAAACCTGTTATATAATATTATTTTTGCTTTAAAGACTAAGTTATCATTCCAAAATTTGAAAAGACAGATAAAGGAAAGTATTTTCCACCTGTCTCCATATTTAGGATTTCTGGATTCTTTTAGTGAATTCAGATTGCTATTACGTGGTTTCCTCTTGTCTACTGGCAACAAATTCTCTCAATTTTTGTTTGTTCATTTTTCCTTCAATTTTGAAGCACAATTTGACAGGATATAGAATTCTCAGTTGATAGGTTTTTTTTTCCTCACAACACTTTAAATATTTCACTCCACTCTCTTCTTGCTGGCATGGTTTTTCAGAAGTCAGGTATAATTCTTATCTCTCCTCCTCTATGAGTGTTTTTCTCCTCTGGCTTCTTTCAAGATTTTGTTTTTCTTTTTCTCTTTTTTTTTTTTCTTTTTTGAGACAAAAATTAGCCAGGCATGGTAATCTCACTCTGTCACCCAGGCTGGAGTGCAGTAGCACAATCTCAGCTCCCTGCAACCTCTGCCTCCTGGGTTGAAGGGATCCTTATGCCTCA